TGGTTGTGACTTTGATTGTGTACCGTTTTCCATCTGCTTGAGGTTCTGTTGGTAATAAATTTGCCTCAACCTCTCTATTTCTCGTTTCAATGCTTCTTGATGAGCTATATATTTCACGAGAGGAAAATATAACGATATAAGTGAAGACTAAGTAACCCTCTTATTCCAAAATCAACATCAGTCACTAATATTAAGTGTAGATCGATCATGAAAAATGAAAATTAGATCTAAGGGTGATCTGGAAATCGAATAATGCAATTGATCACCCTGAAGTGTAACAAACTAATTAAGCCTCCACTAGTAGTAAGTATTTTTTTTTTTACGACTAACACTTTATAAACACAATTTTTTCCAAGTTGGAGGGGTTCAGTGTTGTCTTTTTCTAGGAGGATCATAAAGCCAAACATAGCTTACTATGGAACTTTCATAAATTTAGTGATCCATTTAGTTTTGTTCATATTCAATTAGGATAACTTCACTTCTGATCCCACAACTACTGACAAATTCTATTTTTAGTTCTAGTGATATTTGCCTTATAAGCAATTAATTTTATAATTTGCAAAATTGTATACTTTTAGTCTCGTTACATGTTGTATCATCATTGACCCGTTAGTTGACTATCGAGGCAGCGAGAAAAAAAACAGCTAACGTACCTAGATACTCATTATGTCTAAAAAAAAAAAAGAAGGTATTGTTTGAATTTAGAAAGTCAAACTTTTTAATTCTGACAGTGAATTCACACATAAAATCTTTAAATTTTGTTGAAATATAATTTACATATTTGAAAACTACATAAAAGATACTAAGTCACAATAATTGACAATTCAAAATATTTAAAAAGCATATGAAAAAATCGTGATTAAAAAAAAATTGCTTGATTCTGAAATTCGAATAGTGTGACATAAATTAGGACAGAGGAAGTATAAAATATTGTACAGATTGAAAAAAAAAAAAAGAAGAAAAAATTTACCATCTTTAAACAATTTATCTTGGGCAAGAGCTGCGATTCTTTGCCTGAGGGCACTATTGTCAACGTTTAGAACCAAACGTTGATGGTCCAGAAATGCAACTCTTGGTGACAATACCGAAACTTCAGCCTTCAAAAAAACAGAATAAAAAGGGGGCCAATTCAGAAATATTCTAAATGAAAATCTCCAAAGAAATTAAACATCTTGAATTACTGTTAGTAGAAAAGAAAAATTCTCTGAATTATTTTACATACTTGAAGTGTGCTAACACTACGTTCCAGCTCCGACACGTACTGCAGTTTCCTCACCCGTGATCTTTGTGCCGATTGTCTGTTTGCCAATATCCTGACATTCAATTAAATACAAGATTTATCTTACTATAGAATAAATAAATGTTGAAAATAATTTGGCTTGCTTTGAATGGTTATTTGCTTTATTTTCATATTATTACTTTTAATAATTGGGTAATTATGTTTAGTTACCTTTAGATGATCCCATGGTTTAAACAATTTCTAACCTTAGTACTATTAAAAAGAGACCTTGTCAAATATAATACTATTCATGATTATACTCCATTCCACATGCAGAGAGACAGATATAGAGACAAACAAACATAACATTTCAGTTTAGTCATAAACGAGTATATCTGTACTTTATATGCTTAAAATACGTATCATAACAATCAATACTCCAAAATAAATAATTCATTATTTTTAATTTACGTGACACACTGTACTTTTTAATTCATTACAAAATGAATAATACTTTTAAATATGAAAATAATTAATTTTAAACTTTCGATTTTACCCTTAATAAAAAATTATAATTATATCTAAAATCACAAGTTTCAAGAATTTTACAATCACACATATACTCTTACATGTTTTGAACTATAAATTTCAAAAATCTTTAATTCTTTCTTAAAATTTGTTCAGACTCAAATTATGTCACAATAATTAAAAATTATAAGAGAGTAACATAATACAGTCTCCAAGCACCTTAATGAGAATGTCAAAGCATGATGTAGGAATAATGATATGTATGTGTCAAAAATAAATGGTATACCTTTTAATTCTCTTAGGATCAACAACCTTTTCACAAGAATATTCAATACTTGCATGAGTAGGTGTTGGTTCCTCAGTAGTCTTGCATGAGCTTTGAACTTCCTCATTAAGCTGCTGCATTTGATCACGGTCGCCGCCGCCTGCAATCATCCTTTTATTATCTTCATTAACATTGATGTAATCAGACGGCGACGACGGGTTCGAACACGACATATTGTCGTGTTCGTCGTCGTTAAACATGGACATGATCTGCTGCTCATCATCAAACCTCTCAAATTCCTCATTACCAGTACTGGTTCCACCCGAACCCGGAGTTGATGATAGCCTTCTGCATTCCTCCACCATTGGAGTCTCCAAGAAAGCAATGGAGTCGCTCATTGATCTCCGGTGGGACCCGCGTTTCGTCGAGAAGTCGAGGAATTCGTCCGCCCATAAAGGGTTATTGTTAGCAGCAGTTGCATTGGGAGATAAGTTGTCCATTTTCTGAAGTGAAAAATCAGGCCAATTTGGTGTCATGTTAGGCACTCTTGGAGGTAACTGTGCCATTTTCCTTTCTAACTAGCTGGAAAAATGGGAGTTTCAAGAATGTAGCTAGAAAACCAAACTAGAAAAGAACATATACAGAGACATTAATTCATGATAATTATATGATATCGACATTGTCATGAGACCATATGTATAACTTTGATTTGTCTCATTAACGAGCAAATTAAACTGTCACCTTTCTTTCTCTCCAATAATGATCATTTCACCAAAATTAAGGGGATGGTGGGGTCACATGGGGGGGTTTGAGACAGCTATAGAACAGCTGGTAGGAAGTTTGAGTCTCAACTGTATTACTGGAAAGTAGGACTAGTTTAATATATAGGGGACTTACACCACATGTGCCCTTGTGCTCATCACTCATCTCATAAAGCCTCTGGCTTCTTTTTCCTTATTATTTTTTTTTAATTTCAAAAAAACTCGTAGTACTGTTTTGTAATGGCCTAATACTAAATTAGATTTCGTGGATGGTCATGGAATTAACAGGTCAAATCATAATTCTAAACTTTGCAACAATAAACAATCTCTATATTTTGCATAAAAAAGTTCGTTAACCAAATGCTAGAAATGATGACTTAGCTGTAAGATAAGATAAAATTGTCAAATAAGCACCCGCGGGCAACATACCATATTCATATAACACAAATTCACCAAAGGTTATGGTAGAGACTTGGTAAGTATACCAAATGTTGGCGTTTGATAGGAAATACTTTACCTTTAAAGTAGGATAAGAAATCCATATTAATCGAAACCCATAAGGAATATCGAATATCGAGAGAAAAATTTTTTGATACGCGGACATCCAAATTTACATACATTAGAATTAAAAGGACTAAAGAGACATCCAAATTTATAACGTTGCCGTAACAAACCTTTAGTAGGACACCACTAAAAGTTATATATGATTAAATAATAAATACGTCTTTATCCTTAATTAGAGGTCTAGGTTTGAATCTCAGGCACAGAGTTGTCATAATTAAGAAGCGTTTACCTACTTTTCTCCAAAGTAAAACTTTCAACGTAAATTTAATTAAGAAGCGTTTACCTACTTTTCTCCAAAGTAAAACTTTCAACGTAAATTTAATTAAGAAGCGTTTACCTACTTTTCTCCAAAGTAAAACTTTCAACGTAAATTTAATTAAGAAGCGTTTACCTACTTTTCTCCAAAGTAAAACTTTCAACGTAAATTTGGATTAGTCGTGCTCGTGGTACCGAATACTTAGTAAAATACTAATGAAACTTTAGTACGATGATATCCATGAATTTACCTCCCTATCCTAATTTACATGCATTAGAATTAAACAGAATTGAGAAAGAACATTCCTCCATATACACCACCAAAGGATGTAGTGTAGTGAATGAGACTGCTTTTTCCTTAATCAGAGGTCTCGAGTTCGAGCCTTCGGTATGGAAAAATCCTTAGTAGAGAGCGATTCCTCCCGAATGAAACCCTATACGATGCGAATTCGAATATAGTCGAGCTCAATACGAATACCGAGTGGAAAAACAAAATAATTCCTCCGTATATACAAAGCAGATTGTCGTGCACGTGCTATTGAGCACCGCTTGATCAATGAGATTAGATGTCATCACATGCTACCATCAGCTTTAGGGCATCAATCCACAAACTTTCTCATTATTTATATACCCAAAGTAATCATCGACGCGTGAATTGATAATGCCTTCCCATTTTACTGTCTTTATTTTCGAAGGCGGGTTCAAAATCTTTCTTTTATGGCTTATAGACTTGAGTTTTAATTATAAAACTAACTATTTTGTTTGAGTTTGAAGTTTATAATTTAGTATTTTCAATAATTTCGGTAAATATTACCTAGATAAATTCAAGTCTGAATTAAAATTTATGAGTTTAAATAAACCAATACTATACTATTAGATATGCCCCTGCTTGTTCCAACTTCGATGGTGCAGGACAATATATCATTCTCCTGAATGTTTTTCAGAACTCTCATTTATTCTTGATAAATTAATTAATTTACTTTCTATAAAAAGAAGCAGCTTATAAAAAGCTCCTCCGACTTGAATCTTTAATAATTTGAATCTGTTAGCTCGTTTATATCACATATATGCAGAAGGTAAGGTAACATGTTCCCTTTAAATTATTAAAACTCTTCCCTTATTTTATATGGGTAGAGGTTCGCCTAACGTCCCATCAATAAAGATGATTTTATTTAAAGAAAATGGATTGTATATGCCAAAGTAATTAGTTAGATACTTCACCCGACTATAAAACCATTTATGTGTGATCAGGTTACTTTAATTTGAAGACTAGAAATTTATAGGCAAAAATGAAATTTTACCACTTAACGCTATCTCATTAATTATGAATTTTCAACGGACACGCCGTCGAAAATATGGTTTCTGACGGAAAATCCCAAAACATTTCCGACGAACCAATTTTCAAGGGATATATTTTTGTCAGAAATTTCAGAGAATTTTTTTTTTATTTTTTTTTCGCCAACAAAATTTAAAGGAAAAAAAAAAAAGAGGGTACAAAGGTACGAATACGATTATTGGAATATCGTGTGGAAAGTTGAATGTGTGGAAGATGAGCTGTGGAATGGGAAGGGATCGGAGGGGGAAGAAGAAGATCATGTCAAGCCATGTGATTGGTTTATGCACGATCCTAAGCTTTCTTTCACTTTGTCTCCAAACTAACTTCACATGTAGGGCATGTGTCCCTTTTTGCCATTATCCCTTTGTTTATTTGTACCTTCCCCCATATTCCCAATATATGTATGACTATGTATATGTATAGTAGTTGTCATTTAATGAAGTGGATTTGAAGGATGGAAATACCCTAAGAATAATTTAGTCACAAGCAAAAATTTGACAAAAACTATATAGAAAATATTTATTAAATTAGGGAGAGAACGTGGTAGGAGGCTTTTTCACAACTCATAAACTCTTGAATCTCTCTACATCATAATTACCTCTCTACAATATAAAATATGTAGTAGCACCCCTATTTATAATATTACAAACCAAATTTGACTAGACTAACAAAACCTAACTAGATATAAATTAAGCAACCTAGTAAATACCAAATCCTAGACAACTTAGGAATAATAATTAATTTTGGTTTAATTTCCAACAGGATTGTTAGATCAACAATCAAGTTAATTCTGTATGACTTATTATAGCTCACAGATTCAAGTTGTGGTATCAGCTATTGAGGTTTGTGTTTGTCACGACCCAAAACCCAACTAGTCGTGATGGCACCTAACCCAACCCGCTAGGTAAGCCAGTTAACTACTAACCAATTTCAATAACAATAAATAAAGCAATTCAGTAATGAAATTATCTGAATCTTATATATTCCCCAAGAACTGGTAGTATAAATCATGAGCTTCTAAGAATAGAATTTACAAAGCTAAAATAAAATAAATACATCATCTGTCTGAAAAGTACATAAACAGAGTTTTATAGACCTAAAGCTATCACGAACAAGGGGCAGCTACAACTGGGACGCAGGTACATCTTCAATCCAGCTCCCATCGAACACAGCAATATCGATAACCAACATTTGCATAACCTTAGGTTGAAAGTAGTGACGAGCTAACACGAAGGTCAGGTCTAATACCAGTATCCCACAACAGTTCATAACAACATAGTACAAGTAATAAAAGAGGTATCTCAGAAATAAAATACTCAGTTCGTTCACAGTTTCAGAAAAATAGGCATTTCTTTTCAAGTATCACAATGAAAAACTAAATCTTTTACCGAAAATGCCAAAATACGAGTAAGTTTGAAAACTGTGATTTTTCCCAAAACTCCTTTCAATAATAAGTAAGATGTTTCACTTTCAAATAGCATGAGGAAGGTACGTCTCTATGCCTATATGCCAAGATACCGGTAAAATCATAAATGTCACCAACGCCGGGTAGCAGAAGGAAATGCATCTCTATGCATGTATCTCAAGTACGCATGTCAAATGCAATTCATCTCAATGATGAACTCGTGTACTCACACTCTCAGAGTACTCAATCTCACTGTCTCGCATTCTCTCTCACTATGCTCAATGCTCAGCACACTCAATCACTCAACGATGTACAATATCTGTTGCGGTGTGCAACCCGATCCATATATGACCATAAGGCCCGTTGCAGCATGCAACCCGATCCACATATATATAGTCGACTGTGCTTACTGGGGGTGTGCAGACTCTAGAGGTGCTCCTTCAGCCCAAGTGCTATATCGCTGCGGCGTGCAGCCCGATCCTATAACATATAAATAGCCATAAGGCTCGTTGTGACATGCAACCTGATCCATATATATATATATATATATATATATATATATATAGTCCTAAGGCTCGTTACGGCGTACAACCCAATCCATATACATACAGCCCTCAGACTCGTTGCGGCGTGCAACCCAATCCATATAAAATATAATCAATATAATAGGCTGCAGTGTGCAGCCCGATCCCAAAATTTTACTCTCACTCAGGCCCTCGGCCTCACTCAGTCATCAATCTCTCTAGTCTCACTCACGGGCTCACAATGTTATGAAACTAGCCCGCCAACAATGATATGATGTATCAATAAATAATATCTGAGACTGAGATATGGTCTGAATGCACAGATATGACTGAGTATGAAATATCAATGAAATTAGTGAGATGATAGTAAGAAACGAACACTATGGGTCCAAACAGTATCGGCATAATGCCTAAACATGATATCTAGTATGATTGACAGCTTAACTACCTTATCACATGGTGAAAACACGGATATCAACAAAGTAGGACCACTATACAGTGCCATGGAAATAACAAAGTCCCAATTCACATGGTGCACGTTCACACGCCCGTCACCTAGCATGTGCATCACCTCAATACCAATCACATAACACACATTTCGTGGTTTCATACCCTCAGTACTAAGATTAGAAGAATTACTTACCCCGAACAAGCCAATTCCAACACCGAGCTAGCCAAGTGATGCTCCAAAGATGCCATCACGCGCGTTCCGACCTTCGAACGGCTCGAAACTAATCAAAAACAACTCAAATGCCTCAAACAATGCTAGAGAAATCAATCCCGATCGAAAAAGATCAAATCTTGATTCAAAAGCCCAAAATTAGCCAAAAGCCCAACCCGGGCCCGCACCTCGAAACCCGACAAAATTCACAAAATTCGACAACCCATTGAATTACGAGTTCAGCCGTACTAGTTTCACTCAATTCCGACTCCAAGTAGATGTTCAAAACTCGAAAATTTAT